GCGGAACAGAAAATATTCTTGTTCAAAGCCGAACAACGGCTTTGCACATACGTTTATGGATAAAACAAAGGTATATTTACTCAGACTTTTTTAATATCATAACAAAAACTAAACACCTGCACTTATGTAGGTTAATGAAGACAATTCAGTAGTGAGATAACTAATGAGAAGTTAGTTGAAAGAATAGAGGAAATTCAGAAGAACCAAGTTGTTAGTAATAAAGTTGATTTACAAAATATAATAAAGAGGATCAGTGATATAATTTTTTGTTTTATTTATTCTTTTTATTTTTAAATCTGAGGCTCAAGAAGTTATGAATGAGCTCTTTTTTAGTATAGTTGTCCAGACCAGCTTGTAATAGGATTTCTCGGTAGGATGTAAAAACCAGCGCAAGGTTACAGACATGGGTTGTAGACGAGGTTAACTAGGAAAAGTAACATCAATATCACTGATTTGTTACATCCTGCTATATCGTAAGGAGCCGTAAGCAAACAAAATGTTCTGCCACACAGACATAGGTAGATTGAGGTTATCGCCCCACCGTCATGAATGCTGGTCAGATACACCACCCTCCCTCCTTTTGTGATGTTAGGCTCTCTTACGTTTAATGGTTAATTGTAAATAATGGTCTCTAGTCTACTCTCAATTTTTTTTTTTGTACACCTTATCGGAATTAACATTCTCTACTAGCTCCAACATTACAAGCAATCCAGACAACTTTGCCAGATAATATATCCACATAGCATATCACACTGATTTTAAGTAAACGAATGGTATAATTTGTAAGATGAGTCAGTTAATGGGTAGTTTGGAAATAGGAAGGACAGGGAGCTGGAACGAGGAGAAAGTGAAAAATAAAGAGTTGAAATAATGTTAAAAATTAATGAGTAAAGCGATAAGTTGGTAAGCAGGCAAGGTGTTTGGATGTTAATGAATTGGGGAAATAAAAATAAGTTAAACTGTTAATACGTAAATAAGAAGATACTCACAATGATACATGGTGTTTGAGTTCCTTGTAATTGACAGTAGTTGATCAGCATCTACAGGCTTGTCAATTTGTCTGTCTACTAGAAATAAAAACTAAAACTGCTATGAAGATATGAAAATAATGATTGGAATTTAAAAGCAGAGAAAAGTCACGGTTAACACCTCAAAGGCGTAACCTATTGCTGTTAGTAGGAGCAGGGGGATTTGTCTACCATTTCATGATGCATATATGGGTGGTAATGAGAACACAATATGGTCATAGTCTATAATTAGTTTCTGAGGTTTATCTAAATATTTGGTGGACCATAAAAGAGTGCCTGGGGACTTTGTGTGAGTTCTGGGAATAGTCGATAAATCTCTTTAGAATCTAGCAACAACATGACTAGTTTCTTGAACTTAGTGATTGTGTCACAGATACGAATAGCGATTGGTAACCTGTTCCACAGTAGACTGTATCGTATTACAAAGAAATTAGAACGCAATGATTTTTTGTGTTTTGCCGTTAATAGTGTATATGCGTTGTTTCTAAGTCTGTAAGCAGTGTCTTGGTTCATAGTTGGGCGGTATTTTACGAACGAAAGACCATTTATTAGTTTATAGAGGAGCATTAGGTTGTTTTTGAGACGACGGCGCCATAGAGGTTCTAGGGAAAGATGCTTGCATCTTTCTGTGTAGTCGAGGTTATGGCTCAATCCGAGCAGTCGCCGGGTGAAGCTTCTTTGTACATTTTCTACTCGCATTTTGTCCATGATATTCATGTTTGAAAATATGAGTGAACAATATTCAAGTGTGGGCCTTATACAGATTTTGAAGAGAGTAAGCTTAGCCTCACTTGTGAAGAAGTTCTTGTTTATGAACCCAATTAGTCGTCTAGATTTAGAGATAATATTTGAGGCATGTTCTTCGAATTTTAGGCTTTTAGAGTAACTAATACCAAGGTCACGCGCTGATATGAGTGTCTGAACTCTACATTTTTGTAAGTAGACTGGTGAATCAAGGTGACGCTTGCTAAAATGCATTATGGCACATTTGTTGTGGTTAAACGGCAGTTGCCATGTCTCGCTCCAGGTACTTAAGTTATCAAGATCACTCTGAATCTTAGCTATATTTTCGTCCAGATCTTCAGGCTTATAGCTGTATACTATTTTCAGATCATCAGCATATAAGTATGCTCTTCCAAATTTAATAGTATTACATATGTCATTTATGTACATTAGAAACAAGAGTGGACCTAAGACACTTCCCTGGATAACCCCACTGGTTATTGGTCTTGGTGATGAAAGACACTCGTTGTAGTTAACCATTTGTTGTCGCCCATTTAGAAATGAAGCTAACCATGAGTGTAGTGGGTTGATGATTCCAAATGACTTCAGTTTAAGTAGAAGCCTTTTGTGTGGGACTTTATCAAAAGCCTTTTTAAAATCGAAGAAAAGGACTGATACCAGAAGCCCTTTGTCTTGTTCATTCGTGATATCGTTGAAATAATCTAAAAGACATGTATCACACGACCTGGACCTCAAGAACCCATGCTGTGAGGTCGATATAAGATTGTTACTAACTAGATGTTGTAGTAACTCTGCCTTAACTATTTTCTCCATGACCCGAGATACTACCGAAGTTATGTTTATAGGTCGGTAATTTTCAACGTTCGCTGTAGGCCCAGATTTTATTGTGGGGATGATATGTGTAGTCTTCCAGTTATTAGGGTAACACTCTGTGGAGAGAGATATAGTAAATAGTTTGAGAAGAATAGCACTCAGATCATTGCTACCATTTTTCAGCATGCTGGCTGGGATGTCATCTGGTCCTTCAATGTAAGAGTGCTTCAGTGTACTAATCGCCTTAGAAATGTTCTGTATACTAAATTCAACACTGGCGATTTCACAGGAAGGAGTTTGGGTCAGATGTGACTCATTTGTTGAGTTTTCGTTTGTTAATGTGGCACAAAAATGTTCGCTAAACAACTCTGCGATACTTTTAGGGTCTTCATACACTTGATTGTCCTTAATAAATATGCTCCCTCCTTTCACTTTGGAGCATTTGAGTTTATTCCGAAGGAGTTTTATGAGTTCAGAGGATTCCCTGTTCAGCTGAACAGCACGCTTTTCCTGTGCGATTGCCTTTTTAGTACGTGTTATTTCTGCCTCGACACATATTTCAGTCATCGTTACTAATGAGGAGAAGTCATTACAGTTATGAAATCTGGAAGCATGTCTTCGAAGACGTTTTCGTATATGACGTGGCATAAATAAGTCCTTAGGAATCCTGGGTCTCCAGGATTCTAAAGGTGCAAATATCTAGGCAGCATCATCGACGAGAAAGGTGGATCGGATGCAGATGTGAGGGCGCGGATCGGCAAAGCGAGGGCTGCATTTCTACATTTGAAAAATATCTGAAACTCCGAACAACTATCAACCAACGCCGAAATCAGGATTTTCAATGCAAATGTCAAGACAGTTCTTCTGTATATGGTGGAAACTTGGAGAATTAACAAAGGCATAATCCAGAAGATACAAGTATTTATTAACAGTTGTCTACGCAAAATACTTTAGGTCGGTTGGCCAGACACCATCAGCAAAAACATGCTATAGGAGAATACAAACTAGATTCCAGGGTAGGGGGAAATCAGGAACGAGCGGTGAAAGTGGATAGGACACACACGGCGAAAAGCACCCAACTGCGTCACCAAACAAGCCCTCACATAGAACCCTCAAGGTAAAAGGAAAAGGGGAAGACCGAGGAACATATTACGCCTAGAAATAGAGAAAGACATGGGAAAACCGAACCTAAATTGGACAGAACTGGATAGGGAAGCTTAGGACAGAGTTGTTTGGAGAAAACTGGTCGAAGCCGATGCTCTTTTGGGATTAACAGGCGTAAGTTAGTGGCGCAATAATAAACGTAACCAACGCATCGTATTCGTCTTTTGATTTATACACAGTTGGGTGTTACTTAGAAACGGTTATCAGGATCATATCGAATTTCCACCGCCGCAGTACCTATATACTAGTCTCAATCCTGTCATAATGGTAACTAACTGCACTCCCATCCGGTCCACATTGCCTGGCAACCAAAATATCCAGTATTCCTAAAAACTTCCAAGTAAACAAATGCACATAATGGGCAGATTAATAGTTTTTCAAGCCGTTGACATAATAATGACCCAATTATTTCCAATGGACATATCTTAGCTGAAGGCGCTCGGCATGCTTCCATAGCAGATCTACGTTGAGTACACCGCGCGATGTATCTCTTCATGCCAGCTAGTAAGCTTAGTTACTCACCCCTTGAAATCTCAAGCCTCATTCAAGTATATTTTCGACACAAATCTTTCCTGACTTCTGGCTTGACTTAGTCTTGATAATTTTCGACCTGAAAGGTGTTACAGATAAATACTTTGTCCAACTCTGAGAACAGGCTACATTTTCAGCTGTTTTGTCCAGTTTGACAGACGAAATTCGCCATGAGAAACCCATCTTAGCGATTTTAACTCTAGGTTGCTGGGATTGTTTTTGCATAGACTGATTGCTGAAACCCTCAGAAAAAAGTTAGTCATCCAGCTCAGAGAACGACACTATATCATAAACCTCATATGATCGTAGTGCGATATCGTAATAAACACCTACGTTTCGAGTTCGACCTTAAGGTAAAATTTAAGTTTATTTCAAACGGATGTTGCGACCCTTGAGGACTCTATATAATTTCATTGTCATTTCTGAAAGTAATACCGTATCTAGTGGTTACTGATTGAAATGCCTTACCCGAACTGGTGGCGCCAGCCCTATCAGTAGACGCTTTCAAGGAGAAACCAGGTCGTCGTTTAAAAACGTTCTAGAATGACTAAAACGGATCAGTCAATTCGCTATCGTTAGCAATCAAAGTAAAGCTGAATACCCATAGGACTTGTGTTTTACGCCAAAAGATGTAGATTGGGTTGATGTTTGCCTTTTAGGCCAATAATACCATAAAGCTTAGAAACAACACTTTGATGGCTTAGAAGTAATCAAAATGAACACCCCTGATCTTCTGTCTATAATTTTGGTAAGTTTAGAACGTTTGTGCCTAGCGTTGTGTTACGCGGCACTTATGAACTAGTGCTTTGGCGGGACTCAATCAACTGATGCAGGACCCTACATTGCAGTTCTTGCGTACACTGGTTGCCCATGGCGAAAACAAATTCTGTTTCGATTGCCACCAAAGGGGCCCGACGTATGTAAACATCACAATAGGCTCCTTTGTTTGTACAACATGCAGTGGTGCTCTGTATGCTCGAACATTATAATATTATCTGTTTAGGAGAAAATATAACCACAGAGTGAAATCGATCTCAATGTCAAATTTTTCCCAGTCAGAGATTGACTTTCTTTGCACTCGTGGAAACAAGGTACTACAATTTTATCTAGATAATTTCAATTAGGCATGCCGAAAAATATATATGGCTCTGTGTGAAGATCAAACAATGACAGAGAAAGACTTAAAAGATGGGGCTTTAGATAATTATTTGAGACAAAAGTACCAGTTACAAAGGTGGTGAGTGCATTTTTTCGATGTTCTATTTAAGAAGAAAATAGTTAAACTACAAAAACAATTGCAATTTGTAAGAAAACCCGCTGTTTTGCTGTTTTTAGCGTGGAAATTTGCCACACCATCTTTTGTTTAGTTTAGAACGTGCAACAAACATTAACGTGTTACTAAATGCCTTATGCGTCTCCCTGTGGTGCTATGAATACGATATCCTTAGTGGTCTATGTGAACTAAGCTTGAAGTCAGTTTATATTTGTGTGATGACCACTCTAGCTTGCATTAAAGCATCATGCATTACTTTGCTGCCTGGTGATCCTTTATTGAAATTATCACCAATGTTTTAGATACCTGAATCCTACCTTCAACTACCAGCTGACTTTAAACCATAACTTAAGAACAGATAATGAGGAGTCGATACAACATGTTATATTTCACTTCAGGTTAGAAAGAAAAATGACGTTAAAGTCGAAACAGTTGTCTAAACTATAATGGATAACTGGATATTAAATATTTGATCCAGAGGATTGGATGAAATAGCATCGTGATTAATCTAGATCAGTATTGAGCCAAAAATTAACCTATTCATCTAAGCATAAACCCAGATTAAGATAACAATCGCCGTCTGGTGTCGTATAGGTCTGAATAACCAACTGTCGATGTACTAACAGACGAATCATCACAGGGTAAGTGATGATTTTACATGTTTGACACCATTCGGTTATTTTAGCGTATTATCAAAACGTTGGTAGCTAAACTACTGTTTCTGTCAGTTAGTCAATCATGCGCAACGAGATGTAAATTGTAGTTTTTACACGGTACCTTATTCTTAACTTCTGTCTTACTCAATTCAGTATCCCACTTTTATTGAGCAATGTTTCAAAAACATCTATAACTGGACACTGAGAGGTTCTTTTACAGGCTATTTTAGTCATAAAACAACATAAAATGAACGTCCATGTATTGTAACTTCAAAATAAAACGAAGATTAAAAACTAACTTACATATTTTACATGCTTCATGAATATTTTCCTTGTATTCCAACTGCTTAGATACATTTGCTATTAGTTTCTAACAAGTCAGATTGTTACACCAACAACGGATTTATTTTGTAAAAGGATATTACTACACGCTTAAGTAAGTGTATAAACTTAAAACTCAAATTATAACAGCATTACCATTCTCTATATCGTGATCGCGTTTTTTCTAGTAAGATATCTGATTATCATTCAGTGTTTTCAAAAACATCTGTAGGAATTATCATTAATTTTTCTGGTAAAATTCACAAATACTTTATTGACCGAATTGTATTCAGCTGCTCTTTTCTGAGCTGCGCTGATAATCTAGTGGTAACGTCTGTTTGTAGAACCGTCGTTCAGTGGTTAGGACTCTTAACTTTCAGCCACTAAGTCCTCCTCTCCCCCTATATCAGTCTAGGTAACCGGATAGTACCACTGGCTTCCACACTTAGGATGTGGCTTGTAGCCAAATACATGGTGAATAAGTATGACGTTTGATTTTGTTTGGCATGATTCAGTCGTTTAAATATTCTGGCTCCAACCATCCGATTTCAAATTATAATATCACTTGTAACAACGGATTTGGAAAATAAAGAAGTATTTCGGTCCTAAATTCTAGTGCGTTATCAGACTTGTGATTCCACAAGTAATAAAGAAAGGAAATAAGGAATGATTTTACTGGACAGCTCTATGAATATCTACGTTCTCTGCTTATGTAGACGCTAATTGCAATTTTTACGATATATTTGCTGCTGAAAGATGGGAAACTTGCTTCAAAAATCCAACGTTCGGATGACAAAGGTCCTAAAATTTTAACTAGAGATGTTTGTAACCAATTATTGCCAATTGCCAGGTCCTCCCCCAGAACTATTTGTTTCTCGATTTGTCACATCGTCAAAGAATTTCATCTAACAAGATATAAATAGATCATAAATTCTAATCGTTATGTGAATCCGTAATTTAATCATGTGAGTTATGCCATTTACTTAACGCTACACCTAAGTACGGTATTTTCTATTCACTGGTACCACTAAGTTTCGCAAATCTCTAAATGCCCCCGATATTCAGTTTGCGAAACCGTTTACATATCCTTTGTTTTCTTTGGTCACTTTCCAACTATATAAACTGTAACGCCGCTTCTCAGTAGCTGTTGGCCTCGATTGTTTGAATAGATCTTACAGATATGGGTTTCATACCGTACGCTATGTCCTGACGTTACGAATAAGTATCTAAAGCCCACAAGTGGTCAGTTTTTTCAGGTCTCAAAGTTTTAGCTAATAAAGTCAGATGTTTAACTTGACGTTTAAGTGCGATAATTAAAATATTTCGTTTCACGTTTAGAGTAAAGCGTCCAAAAACCAGAGGGTTACTTTTACAAAAGTTTATTCTCAAACGCTAACCACAGAAAAGACATTTGACAGTGGTCCGAAATAAATTATACTAAGAACTTATAAAAAAAATAGTAAGGCAAAGGTTAATTTCAAGTTTTGATGATCTGATTAGTTTGTCTTCATAGGATCATTTGTTGCACACTGATTCTTCACTTACTAGGAGTTTATAAGTATTCGTTGTACTTAAAAAAAATAAACTGATTGAATAATGTACCAACTAAAGCTTTGTTCAATCTTGTCGATTTAGCTGAATTTGTGGTAACCTTTAAATATATTAAGTTTTAGAATTTTATCTTTACTTCAAAGTTCCCTGATAATGGAATTCCACATAAAACGGATTCTGTTGTTTTTTCGGATTTTTCAGTCAGTCAGTTGCAACGTAGAACTACGTACGTATGTACATAAGTTCATGTTGCCATACCACATTAGCACACAGAGACGCAAATGTCAAATCAAATCCCATAGTGATAAAGATAGAAGAGGTACTAATGGTAATGAAGAAGACTAGGGTTCGAAGATATTATTAAAGAAGTATAATTAAGTGAAATTCTTCACCCCGACCGAAGCTGCTACCTTGACGTGGTGGTCGGGCTTGCCTATCGTGATGAACCAACCCAGCTATATTGGCTGGAACTTATGTTCCTGAAGGTTCTACGACCATGCCAGACAGGTCGACTGGAGAATGATGAGCAGCTACCCAAGGTCTGAGGGCGAAGTCGTACTGCTGACTGCAGAGGGGTGTGACAGCAGTAAGGTGTTTCCCTCGGACAACCAGCATCTGCAGCGATGCTGCCTTCTCACAAGAAAGGAAGAGTTAGAAAGGGTCGGCCCTAAAAATGTCACACCTCCCCTACCTCACGGATTTCTGTCTCCTTGAGTAAGGGTGCCCACTAAGGGCCTTTAAGAACGGAGCTAATCCTCAAAAAACCTTTCATAAAAAGGCCGTGCGTGACCGGCCTCAAGCAGTTGTCCCTTGGACTCTGCGGTCACGCTCCCAGGTCTCCAAGACCAACACTAATATATCTTCCTTTTCAGAAACACGCTTCCACGGTGTGGGCAGCCTGGAAGTGACAACCGCCCTCATACCCGTAACAGCACACGAGACCAAATTGGTCAAAATCAAATCCTTCCTACACCCCCTAATACCTCTCTTTTTCGGATTTGAATCGACTTCTAACAATAAATAGTTAACAATTTTCCCGGTATGATGATTATTCGTCGAAATAAGCTTACTTTTACTCAGCAGTAATCATACATTAGCTTAGTTGGTAAGCACACATTTTTGAGCAACCATGGTTTAAAGAAAACTGGCTAGTATTATTTAGAGTAATTAACATGTAGAAACATTGAGAAAATTTTTTTTTTACCTGCTAATGTATCATAAGTTTACTAGGCTATAATATTATTTATAACTAGTAATTTGTAAGTATCCTACTAAATTTGGCCTATTACTAGAATCATGTTAAAAAATTGACGACTTGATTTTACTTTTTACTTTTTACACTACACTACAGTCAATCAGTGTCTTATTGGTAAAGAACACATGATTATTATTGATTAGTTCAGTGTGACAATCGCTTATCGTCGTAACATTTGATTATTATATTCTGATAATGTTAACTATTGATTATTTCTGACAACTGTTATGTGTTTATTCAGTGTGTGATGATATTGACTTAAGTCCTCATTAATTGATCATCGTTACAAAGTAAATCATTATATAAAAGAATAGTATTTTTCTCCCCCTAGTCAGTGAGTGACCTGTACGTTGTATGGGGTGAGGGGACAGGTTCAGGTTGGTAAATATATTCTTCACAATTCACGCTTTAGTTTAATAGTTTGAGCATAGAGTTTGGAGGGCATAGTTTTAGTTAGTAACTGAATTGTAACCACTTGCATATACACGTTAATATTCTCAAATTGCGTATCAAGAATCAGTCAGTCATAATCGATGTAAAACCTGGTATATGTGCATCGGTTAAAGTTGCGATTATCTCATTAACACAGCGCTATAAAACAGTGTCATTCAAGCTTCTTTGTTTTTCACATTTCTTATGTACTGTTATGTAATCACACTTTTCCATCTATCACTGTTTGGTTCATAAATAGTGTAGACAAATCAAGTTAGTTTTATTGTTGATATCTAAGTTTCTGTTACAAGTGTATATCGGTTCTAAACATTATAATTGCCCATAAAAGAACCCATAATTTAACAATCATGTTTGTTTTAGGTATCGTGAACCTACATCGCAGATAGAATCTGAAGCTATGAAAGAAAATCGTGAACTTCTTGAACAATCAGAGAAAAATATGAATCAGAAAGGTCAACGTAATACATGTGGTAATGCAGCTGCTGGACTTATTGTTCTGCCTACTCGTTCAAGTACTAATCTTCCTACTCAAAACAATCTAACCAACAGGACAACACAAGCTAATAATGTCAATGGAGACAATGTGGTTAGTTTCAATATGTAATCGATTGCATCTCGATATATATATTCTTCACCGCCTTCATCATAACGAGTAGAGAGTATATTTATGCAGTTTGATGACTCTTTATCCATGTTCAATATACAACAGTCTAACTTTTTGGTGAGGTTGTAACATTAATTATCAATGATTCTTGTGAGGTCATCTATTTTGATTGCAAGAAAATCTTAACGTGACTAATTGTTAAACAGGGTTACTCAATCTCACCACCGCCCTTTAACTTTGCCATTGAGGATATTCTGGAAACAGTTTTAGTAAAAGTAGGTAGTAATGGTTTGGATCTCATACTTGGAGAAAAACTTAAGTCTAGAGTTTGGAATGTTTGGCAACTTCTCTGCTTCCAAAGGAATGCTGACATCCAGTGGCCACACCAGGTGGTGACCAGGGGGAAATGTTCCGTTAGAAATGCAGCTAAGAAAAATTTTAAGTTTTAAGAGGCTCCCATTTCCGTGAAAAGTGTAAAAGCAACACTTCAGCATGATCACCACTGGATTTTATTATGATTCATTCCTGATAGTCTCAAGCCACTGAATTTCCCCGTCTCTATAGAACCCCAACCAGGCAGTCATGATAGACTAGCATGTGCCAATCCTGTAGGGCTTCCTTTCATGCCACGAAGTCATGCCGATGATCGTTTCTTCAATTTCTCCAAACCGTCTTAGCGTTGATAAATAACATACAGTGTGAAAGCCATTAAGATGATGTTCCTGCCATCAATACTATTGTTTCAAGATGGTAATACCAGTCAAGTTATCGTCACTGTAGCCTAACACAAGCTGACGAATCTTGGAATTACCAATATGATTTTTTATGAATTAAAATATTGATCTAGCTACTAGATGTCGGCGACCTTTGCGATACAACGGTGATCTAGCAGACAGTCGCTGAACAGCCTCAACTAAAGATAAAGAACTCCTTCGTATTACCGAAACAGTCCCCAGAATGTCATTGATGACAAAGCTGAGGAGAAATAGTGAGATTGAACAACCCATTACCTGAATGAACAAAAGTGGGAAAAGTTTGTTGTATGTCATTACTGTCCGTAGTGTTTGTTTAAAAAGTTTTGAAGATGTGAACAAACTCGGGTGTACCTTACTCCAACTAGTGATCCTAGTGCTTAGTTATGTCCGATGAATCTTTTCAGATCTATTATCCATGTAAAATAGTACGACTTGACATATTTTTTTTTAATCGCCTATTAGCCATGTTTAGGGTTTGGGTGTTCTTGTTCGATGCTTGCAGTTAACAAAATCTCAGCACGGATACAGAAGGCTCGATTGGCTTTTGCCAACCTGCGTCACTTATGCCGTAGGACAGATATCCGTTTTTTAAACAAAGGACGAGTGTACTGCGCAGCAGTTCGCTCCGTCATATATATTGATACATGGCCGGTAAGAGTTGAGGTTATTAGTAGGTTATTAATATTCGATTATAGATGTCTTCAAAGCATTGCTCGTATATCCAAGGACAATCGAACGAGCAATGCTGTCGTTAGGAAACGAGTTCTTGGTAGGGATGGCAAATCAATAGATGAAGTATTGAAAATTCATCAGTTGAGGTGGTTGGGACATGTGTTACGTATGCCCAACCACCGACTGCCTCGACAAGCTATATTTTGTAGTGTGAGTAGGCTAGAAGGATGCTAGGGGCGGCCAAACCAAAACATGACAGAAACCCATAAAGTCACTAACAAGTGGACTCAGTCATGTTGCTGGATGTAGGCTACCTGGTTAGGGTCCGCGAGTTGGTAGCAACCAATGGTTAGAGACCTTGAACGACATGGCTGGAAATCGTTTGCGATGGCGCAAGTACATCCATTATTTGTGCTCTCTCAACTCCTAATATTCTGGATTCCTCATCACCCCCATCTTTCTCTTTCTAATTTTATCTCACGGAATTATGGTTCTTGAATAATATCTTCGAACCCTAATCTCTCCGATCACTGCTAATACTTCTACTATCTCCACCACTATGGGATTCGAACTGACGGTGGCGTCTCTGTGCTGATGAGGTATGGCAACATGAACTTATGTACATACGTACAAAGTTCTACGTTGCAACTGACTGACTACTTACAATTATTCCAAAATGAAATATCAACATCATTCATCAATTCACGAATACTTTCCAGTGTTAGGTGTTTACATTATTTGTGCTATTCTCTTTCTTTATTAAAAAAAAACTTTTTTCCTTTCATGATTTATAAAAATTTTGTCATTAATTTTTAGATACCACCACAACAATCAATTGCAAATAATTTAACGCCGAATCAAAAACACGATGTATTTAGTAGTAAAACAACCACCATCGATCCATTTGCTTCATTTCCTTCTTCAAATCCTATTGTTGTTACTAGTACTGTGACTACCAATACTGATCTGTTTGTAAATTTCTCTCCTAATGTTCTTACTTCTATTAATCACAATAATCATAATCCTAATCCTAATTTCCCAATCAAATCATTCCCTTCTTCTAATATAATCAATTCAACTGCATCCAATGCTTTTACAACAACAACAAATTCATCAATGAATACAATGTCTAGTTTTCCTAGTTCAAGTAGTGGAGATAAATATGCAGCACTTGCTGAATTAGATGGTTTATTTAAAAGTACTAGTCTTAAATCAACCAATTCAGAAACTACTATAGAACAAGGTATAAATGATCAAATATTATCTAAAACTAATATGCCTAGTGTAAGTGTATCATCAGCTAACAACCAATGGGTTAGTTCATTTACACCTCAAATTACTTATTCAAATAATCCTACTGCTGCTGCTGCTGTTGTTGTTCCCGTCGGAGCACCATCACCTGCATGGTCTATGAATACAACAGCTTTTAATAAAGATACTAATATACAATCATTTAATCCATTTACTACTACTACTACTACTACTAATCCAACAGTTCGAATTTCAAATCCTTCAACTTTCAATCGATTTCCTAATCCATTTACAAATTATCCTCCAGTTATGGGAATACCTTCAAGTATGCATCAATTCCCGGAAGCTTTAAGTTCAGAAAGTAAAAATCCATTTCTTGCAAATACTCAACAATCATTTATTAATGCAAATCCATTTTCGAATTTAATGCTGCACCACTCTACTACATCTGCACATTATCAATCACAAATAACAACGCCTAGTTCATTTTCACCGATGATGATGCATCCTCATCATCATCATTCAGTTAATAATTTTCCTACAAAAATGAATTATCCTATGGTAAGTGATTTTTTTTTATTTTGAACAATTCATATTTTGTTAAGGTTTTTTATCATTTTCAATGTATATATTGAATTTGTTGACAATTTTTATGTATATTATACTAAAGTTATCAGTCAGTCATTTAGATGCAACGTAGAACTTCGTACGTAAGTACATCAGTTCATGTTGCCATACCACATCAAGCACAAAGATATAAATGTCAATTCAAATTCAATAGTAGAAGAGTTAGTAAAGGTATTAGGAGTAATCGGAGAGGTTAGGATTAGAAGATATTATTTAAGAAGTATGATTCAGTGAGAAAAGTTTAGAAAATCAAAAGTAGAGGAGTTGAAGAATCCAGAAGATTAGGGTTTGAGAGAACACAAAGAATAAATGCACTGGCGCCATCGCAAACGATTTTGAGCCATGTCGTTCAAGTTCTCTAACCATTGGTGACTACCGTCTCGCGGACCCCAACCAAGGTAGTCGACAACTACCGACATGGCTCAGTCCACTTGTCAATGACTTCATGGATTTCTGCCATGTTTTAGTTTGTCCGACCTTAGCTTTCTTCCAACCTATTCCTACACTACAAAACAAAGCTCTTCGAGACAGCCGGTGGTTAGGCATACGCAACACATGTCCCAACCACCTCAACTGATGAAGTTTGATTACTTCATCTATTGATCTGCCATTCTTACCTAGCACCCGTTTTCTAATAACAGCGTTGCTCACTCGAGTGTCTCAGGATATACGAGCAATGCTTCGAAGACGCCTATGATCGAAAACCAGTAACCTACGAATATCTTCCACTCTCACTGACCATGTTTCACAGCCATAAAGTAAGACGGAGTGAACTACTGCGCAGTACACTCGTCCTTTAGTCAGCAAACGGATATCTCGCCTACGCCATAAGTGACGCAGGTTGGCAAAAGCCAATCGAGCCTTCTGTATCCGTGCTGAGATTTCGTCAGTCACCAGGTCATCGGCACTGATGAGACTCCCAAGATAAGTGAAGCGGTCTACACGTTCGACTACTTGACTCCCTATCACTAGTTCAGGTGCCAATGCAACCCAATCTTGAAGCAACATTTTGCATTTCGACGGGGAAAACTGCATCCCGAACATGCTTGGATTGTTGCTTAGGGTGGTCAGAAGACCGTGCATTTTGTCAGCGTCTTCACCAAGTAGGACTATGTCATCGGCATATTCTAAGTCAATAAGCGAGTCACCTGGTAGAAGGTCTACTCCTGAAAATTCAGACGATGCTTAAGTTATGGTTTCCGGTAAACGATTATTTATACAGCGTGTTATTCCGGTTTACTGTTTAAGCTATTTTTTTATTGGTCACGTGACTTGGCATTCAAACAAATCGAGTAAATAATTCAGGACAATGTCTCGCAAATAGTGGATGGTAGTAAGATGTTAGTGAATGTCGTGTTTAAACCTGAAATCGCGAGATTTATCCACTAGTACTATTTATATAAACCAGTCAACATTTTCCAATTTGAGGCTACCCGGAGCGTTGGATTTTTAGAACTTTCCCTATTACTTACTTACTTACGCCTGTTACCCCCAATCGAGCATAGGCTGCCGACCAGTTTTCTCCAACCAACTCTGTCCTGTGCTTCCCTCTTCAGTTCTATCCAATGTTTGTTCATTCCTCTCATATGTTCCTCTATTTCTCGGCGTAGTGTGTTCTTTGGCCTTCCTCTTTTCATTTTGCCTTGAGGGTTCCATGTGAGGGCTTGTCTCGTGACGCAGTTACGTGCTTTTCGCCTTGTGTATCCTATCCACTTCCACCGCTTCTTCCTGATTTCCTCCTCCAATGAAGGAATCTGGTTTGTTCTCTCTCACAGTAGGTTGTTGCTGATGGTGTCTGGCCAACGAATCCGAAGTATTTTGCGTTGACAACTGTTAATAAACACTTGTATCTTCTGCATGATGGCTTTGGTAGTTCTCCATGTTTCCGCTCCATACAGTAGAACTGTCTTGACATTTGTATTGAAAATCCTGATTTTGGTTTTGGTTGAAAGTTGTTTGGAGTTCCAGATATTTTTCAACTGTAGAAATGCAGCCCTTGCTTTGCCGATCCGCGCCCTCACATCTGCATCGGATCCACCTTGGTTGTCGATGATGCTGCCCAGATATGTAAAGGTGTTAACTAGAACTTTCCCTATACTACTAACAAATTGAGTAATACAGTATCTAAGAAACCTTAGCTGATTCACGTTTGTGCCGTGCTCTCTCTGTTTGTTGACTATCACTGAGTACAACGAAGACTAGTAAGTAATAAGATTTGGTAAATGTAACCGTTAACCCTATTTAGTTTCTAACACTCAATAAATCTGGCCTTGAAATACCAAAAGAAGTAAATTTAAGGAAGTGAAGAATGCAGCAAAAATGTAATTTATTACTCTTGAAAATGTGCAATGAGTTAACACTTTCTCTCAAATTCTAGCCTTCCGAATTCCTCATCACTTCTATCTTTATCTCTCTAAATTTATTTCACTAGATTTTACTTCTTCAATAATATCGTCGAACCCTAATCTCTCTGATTACTGTTAATACTTTTACTACCTCTACAACTATGGGATTTGAAGAGACAATTGCGTCTCTGTGCTAATGTGGTGTGACAACTTGAACTTATGTCTGTGTGAAGTTCTGTGTTGTAACTTACTGACTTTATGCTTCACAATATCGTAAGCGAAAATTGTTCTTCTGAAATAAGTTATTTTTATGAAGTGCTGGATTATATTGTTGACGATCTTATTGATCTTTACACATGACCACATCCTACATGACACATCCACAGACAAACAGACAGATACAACGCAGAACTTCGTACATAAGTACATCAGTCCAGGTTTCCATGCCACATCAGAACAGAGACGCAACTGTCAGTTGAAATCCAGAAGTGATAGCGATAGTAGAATTATTAGCAGTAATGGAGAAGATTAGGGAGCAAAGATATGATTCGAGAAGTATAATTCAGTGAGATAAATTTAGGAGGAGAAAGATAGAGATTATGAGGAATTCATAAGGTTAGAATTAGAGAGAACACAAAGAGTGGATGCATTTGCATCATTGTAAACGATTCTGAGCCATTTCGTTCAAGGTCTCTAACCATTGGTGACTTTAGTCTCGCGGACTCCAACTAGGTTAGCCTACATCTACCAACATGACTCAGTCCACTTGTCAGTGACTTCATGGATTTGTGCCATGTTTTGGTCTGACACATCCACATCATCACATCAAATTTTATGAGTAATTATATTCTTCACCTGAATCTTTCTTTTGCACTGCATTTACTCATAAATATCTCTTACACAGTAGTAGTATGTTTTGTGAGCTCAAACTGTTTGCTTCAGCTAAGCGAAGTGACAAACAATCGAAAGGAAAGGGCTGATCGAGGAGTTGATAAAGTTATTAGGAGGCGTAGAAAGGATTTGATTGTGACCAATTTGATCTCGTTTGCATTTATGGGTATGAGGGTGGATGTTACTTCCCGGCTGCCCACACCCCGTGGAAGTTAGTCTGAGTGGCCCAATCAATTTTTATCCGTTGTAGGTAATGATCGATACAATGTTGTAGTTCGTTTTTCTTTTAGGAATGATGCCTACACTCATAACAATTATTAATCCGTTAAATAAATTTTTCACTGAAAATCCTTCTTTGTTTTAAATGAATAGCAGTTGAATTATTCCATGTTTGTGTGTGTGTGTTTCAACATCATTTCTGTTCTGTTAGAGTAATTGTTTCTTGCAGTTTTTCGGTGCTAGACGACTATTAGCCGGACCGTAGCCGCTACCATGATGTGGTGGTCGGGCCTGCCTATCGTCATGACCCAACCGAGCTATGTTGCCCGGAACATATGTTCCTGAAGGTTCTACCATGCCAGGCAGGTCGATTGGAGAGCGACAAGACTAAAAGCAGCTACTCAAGGTCTGAGGGTGAAGTCGTACTGGTGACTGCAGAGGGATGTGACAGCAGTAAGGTGTTTCCCTCAGACAACCAGCATCTGCAGCGATGCTGCCTTCTCACAAGGTAGGAAGGAAGGGTTAGAAAAGGTCGACCCTAAAATTGTCACACCTCACCCTACCTCACGGATTTCCGTCTCCTTGAGTAAGGGTGCCCACTAAGGGCCTTTAAGAACGGAGCTAATCCTCAAAAAACGTTTCATAAAAAGGCCGTGTGTGACCGGCCTCAAGCAGTTGTCCCTTGTACTCTGTGGTCACGCACCCAGGTCTCTAAGACCAACACTAATCGATCTTCCTTTTCAGGTCCCTCAAGAAACACCCTTCCACGGTGTGGGCAGTCAGTCAGTCAGTCAGTCAGATGCAACTTAGAACTTTGTACATAAGTACATCAGTTCATGTTGCCATACCACATCAGCACAGAGAGGTAATCGTCAATTCAAATCCAATAGTAGAAGAGGTAGTAAGGGAATTAGAAATAATCGGAGGTTAGGATTAGAAGATACTATTCAAGAAGTATGATTCAGTGAGAAAAGTTTAGAGAGTCGAAACTAGAGGGGTTGAAGAATCCAGAAGATTAGCATTTGAGAGAACACAGAGAATAAATGCACCGGCGCCATTGCGAGCGATTCTGAGCCATGTCATTCAAGGTCTCTAACCATCGATTATTATCATCTCGCGGACCCCAACCAGGTAGTCGACAATTACCGACATGGCTCAGTCCACTAGTTAATGACTTCACGGATTTCTGCCATGTTTTGGTTTGGCCGCCCCTAACTTTCTTCCAACCTATTCCCACACTACAAAACAAGGCTCGACGAGGCAGTCGGTGGTTGGGCATACGCAACACATGTCCCAACCACCTCAACTGATGAAGTTTCACCACTTCATCGATTGATCTGCCATTCTTACCTAGCACCCGTTTCCTAATAACAGCGTTGCTCACTCGGGTGTCCCACGATATACGAGCAATGCTTCGAAGACACCTATGATCGAAAACCAGTAACCTACGAATATCTTCTACTCTCATTGGCCATGTTTCACAGCCATAAAGTAAAACGGAGCGAACTACTGCGCAGTACACGCGTCCTTTAGTCAGCAAACGGATATCTCGCCTACGCCATAAGTGACGCAGGTTGGCAAAAGCCAATCGAGCCTTCTGTATCCGTGCTGAGATTTCGTCAGTCACCAGGCCATCGGCACTGATGAGACTCCCAAGATAAGTGAAGCGGTCTACACGTTCGACTACTTCACTCCCTATCACTAGTTCAGGTGCCGATGCAACCCAATCCTGAAGCAACATTTTGCATTTCGAGGGGGAAAACCGCATCCCGAACATGCTTGGATTGTTGCTTAGGGTAGTCAGAAGACTCTGCATTTTTTCAGCGTCTTCACCAAGTAGGACAATGTCATCGGCATATTCTAAGTCAATAAGCGAGCCACCTGGTAGAAGGTCTACTCCTGAAAATTCAGACGAGGATAATGTTAACTCTAGGAGCATGTCTATGATAAAATTAAACAAGAATGGAGAAAGTGGACATCCCTGACGGACACCACTTGATGTAGAGAATTCCGGTGACAGTTCGCCATAAGCCCTCACCCGACCAGTGGTGTTCGAGTAAAGAGCTTGTATAAGGTTAATGTACTTCTGTGGTACACCTTTCAATGACAGACACTGCCACAGAACCTTACGATCAACAGAGTCAAATGCCGCCTTAAGGTCTAGGAAAACAACTATTGTAGGACGCCTAAAGGTATGTCTATGTTCCAGGACCTGTCGTAGTGTGAAAATGTGGTCTATACAGCCACGTCCAGGTCGAAAACCAGCCTGGTTTTCTCGAGTCTGCTCTTCACGAGCTTTCGTTAAGCGTCGAAGTATTATTGAGGCCAATATTTTAGATACTATATTAGTTAGACTTATTCCCCTGTGATTGTCACAAGAAGACTTCTGTCCTTTCTTATAGATTGGGACAATCAAGGATTGAGACCAGTCGGATGGGATTACGTCCAGTTCCCAGATTCTACCTAAGATCTCAGTCAACCTAGCTGCTAAAACTGGACCACCATCCTTAAATATCTCAGGGGTCAGTCTATCAGGACCTGCAGCTCGTCCTCGTTTCAGATTTCCTAACGCTTTCTCAACGTCATTAAGACTAGGGGGATTTACGTCGATTTGCCATTCAGGATGACTGGAGATCGTGGGTAACCGAAGAGTGGCTCGTGGCCAGTTGAACTGATCCCTAAAGTGTTCTGCCCATCGATCCAGTCTCCTGGATTGAGAATGGATAATAAGACCATCCTTTTCCGAGATAGTCTCACTCACATTCGGGTTCTTAATACCGGTTTCTTTAATAAGGCGGAAAAGTTGCCTAGTGTTGCCGATCGCCGCTGCCTTTTCCATCGCTTTTGCTTTCGCCACCCACCACTGTTCACGGTCGTTACGCAGACTTTTTATAAGTCTGCGCCTAAGCTGACTACGCTCTTCATCATGCTCAGAGTCAGGTGGGATGCGTTTTCGAGCATCCATCAGTTCGGTGGATGCGACTGAAATCCACGGCTTCACCCTAGCCTCATGGTTTACCTTCCTAGCAGATATCACTGCTGTTTCCACAGCCTTTTTGATATCATACCAACCTGCTTCTGGATGGGAATCGCTTGCATGGTTGCTTAACTCTCTTTCTAGTTGCTCCTGAAATATTTTCTTGGTTTGATTATCATTAAGTAAAACCCTGAGAGGCTTTCTTACGGTGTCTTTCCTACGTCCAGTAAGCCTTAAACAGATACGAGCTCGCACTAGAGCATAATCTGAATCCAAACATGTGCTCCAGAACGAGCGACAGTCTTCTATCGAACCCCTCCATCGGTGGCTGATGGCGATGTGATCTAGTTGAGTCCAACGTTGAGACGACTTTGGAGGTCGCCAGGTCAACAGATGCTTTTCCTTATGCCTAAAGTTGGTGTTCGCTAAGAATAGGCGGTTATCTGAGCACAGTTGCAACAGACGGTCACCATTGTCTGTTCTCTCAGTCGCTACACCATAACATCCACCAAGATGTCTTTCCTTTTCACCTAGTCTACCTACTTGAGCATTAAAGTCACCAGCCATTATTACTATGTCAGAGCGCTTAGCTTTTTGGAGGAGGTCTGAAAGCTTTCTGTAAAACTCATCTTTAACCTCGTCTGCACTGCAGTCAGTGGGGGCATAGGCAGATATGACGAAGAGGCAACGGCGAGTGTCCCTATCCTTACGAGTCCTTACTGTCCCGTTTAGTCGGACAGCGCACAAACGACTGTCTACTGGGATCCAGTCTAGGAGAGATAATTCTGCCCTAGGACTCAACGCTATGCCTACGCCAGCAAGACCCCTGGAAGCAGCATCAGGGCTACCGGATACCCGAAGAGTAAATCGAGCTGCTTCTTTATTTTGATAAGGTGGAATCAGGTTAATGACTTTACTAGGATCCTGTATGCGCGTTTCCGAGACGCAGCATACATCGATGGCACGAGTTTCTAAAGTCCTAGCTAATGATGCCTGTTGCCCTATTTGACACAATGTCCGTACATTAAAAGCTCCAATATGTAGTCTAGAACGGGGTTTCAAGAGACCAGGAACGACCTTTCGTGATCTCGCTTCGTCTGCATTAGCGGTGCAGTGAGAAAAGGGAGTGTGAGTACAGTTAGTCGTAGAGATAAGAGAGACATGAGGGGGTGTAGGAAGGATTTGATTTTGACCAATTTGGTCTCGCGTGCTGTTACGGGTATGAGGGCGGTTGTCACTTCCCGGCTGCCCACACCGTGGAAGGTTGTTTCTTGAGGGACCTGAAAAGGAAGATAGATTAGTGTTGGTGCGTGACCGCAGAGTCCAAGGGACAACTGCTTGAGGCCGGTCACGCACGGCCTTTTTATGAAACGTTTTTTGAGGATTAGCTCCGTTCTTAAAGGCCCTTAACGGGCACCCTTACCCAAGGAGACGGAAATCCGTGAGTTAGGGGGAGTGTGACATTTTTAGGGCCGACCTTTTCTAACCCTTCCTTCCTTGTGAGAAGGCAGCATCGCTGCAGATGCTGGTTGTCCGAGGGAAACACCTTACTGCTGTCACACCCCTCTGCAGTCAGCAGTACGACTTCGCCCTCAGACCTTGGGTAGCTGCTTTTAGTCTCATCGTTCTCCAATCGACCTGCCTGGCATGGTAGGACCTGCAGGAACATATGTTCCAGCCAGTATAGCTCGGTTGGGTCATCACGATAGGCAAGCCCGACCACCACGTCAAGGTAGCAGCTTCGGTCGGGTACGGTGTGGGCAGCCAGCCGGGAAGTGATAACCGCCCTCATATCTGTAACAGCACACGAGAGACCGAATTGATCGAAATCAAATCCTTCCTACACCCACACATACCTCTCTTCTCTCCACAACTAACAGTACCCGTTCCTTCTTCAGTCTGTTTATAGTTTTGTATTAAACATGTTTACACTGTACTTCCTACTTCAATTTCTATTTGGTTGTTCTCTTTATTTCTTGCTTTTTTTTGATACACAGAATGGAATGGTTGGACAAACCGGATCCAATAGTGGATTAGTATTGGATAATACTATGGATCCTATGACTCGTTATCAAATGTCCAATTTCAATCCATTTTAAGCTGATATTAAACAAACAAACAAACAAACAAAGATACGCTTTATAAATATCATGCTTTTGTGTTGTGTCAGTGAACAAACAATTCCCATTTCGATTGTCGGTGATCGATGATGTCATATTCTTCGCCTCTAGTTTTTCTAAAAGGAAAAGCTTCATTCAGACCCCATTACAGGATTATATGTGTGTCTATAAGGAGGGAAAGTGTAGTACATTTCTGCAATATATATATGCATATACATATATAGACATATATATAAATATATATCATAGCATTTTGTGTTATTTTTTCTTCTACTTCTACTTCTTCTCGGATTGTTTTTTTCTCTTTTCTATAGAATATCGTAGTTTTCATATGATTATTATGATAATCTCATGGTCATTATTCAGATTTGTCATGATTGGTTGTTTGTTTTTTTGAAGCGGTGATTATTTGATTGTTCTGATTGATCTTTGGACACACGATTATTTTTCCCCCGTTTGGCATATTTTTTGTCAGATGTGACAGCAACAAATAACAACAATCATCGTAGTAATAAATCTCAATTAGTCCAGTCACAACATCATCACCCACCATTATTCTTCAATGAACTAAAAGTTCCAATTCATGTATACGAACAATTCCATGTAATGTAACAAACATTTATCATACTCCTCTTTCTTTCATTTATCTCTTTGACAATCAATCAATAACAATCACAATCACATTCCGTTGAGATTCATTCATTCATCACATCACATCACATCACATATTTATTCTTGTTGTCAGTATTGACATTGAAACATGCCATTTATCAATAAAATTATGAGACAATGTAATGTATGTATGTATGTATGTGGTACACCTATTGAATTATAATAATGACCTCCTAACCTCTTCTTTACCTTCTTCTTCATGTTCCAGTATTCAATTCTCTCTCTCCTCATCATCAATCTCACTTGTAGACAATTGACTTTCAAACAAGACTTTTACAGATTTCTTCTTATTCTCTCTATTTTAAAATTATTTAACAAAATCCGAAGTGTATGTGTATGAACGCATGCTAACTAACTACCATCTCGTTCATTGATTGATTGAATAAATGAATGAATTAATATATTGTTCATTTTTTAATTCTCAATTATGATTATTAATTGGTAGAAAAGAAAAAAAAGCAAGTGGAGATTTGTTTACTTTCATTCATTCATCATTTATTATTTGGGTTTATTATTATTTATTTTTTCTCTTCCCAACCCAATTGCATTCATTGTGGAATAGAGATGGTGTTGTTTTTTTTCTTCCTTTGTGAATAATAATAATAATCATAAGTGAATTGTTTGTTTTTATCTCTCTGTGTGTGTGTGTGTGTGTTTGTTTGTTCCGATTATCAATAATACGAGAAAAGTACCCGCGTAATTAGATTTGATCTACATATTATCATATTATAGACGATGAGCGTCTATCATGCATCTCATTAGTGTACTTGTGTGTGTGTATCATCACTGATTGTTTCTTTTGTACACAGGCCAGTAAAAAAAACAATGACCATTTTCATTCACATGCATGCGCATATATAATATGTATTATTATCATCTATCTATCTATACAAGATGAAGTTCTGGCATTAACACAACATTGTCACAATGCCTTGTTGATTGTCGCGCGCATTGATGTTGTGTTTGTGTGTGTGTGTGTGTGAGGTGTGGTGTTTGAATGTACGTCTTTGTGGCCAGTTTGTTAGGTGTCTGATGTGCGTATGTATGTGTGTGTGTCGGTGGGTATGCATGTAATTCGATGCTTATCTCATTACTGCTAAATATATGTATATATAATGAATTCATCTAATAATTATTGTTAAATTATTCACCAATTTTTTTTTTCATTCAATTATTTATTTTTCATGTATACTAATGAAGTAAGTGTTTTGGTCATTTATTTTTGTGTATGATGTTACATTTGGAGCATGTCAGTTAGTGTGTATTCATTGGCGGCGTCGTCGACATCATCTTATTCGTTTTTTTCTCTCTCTCTCTCCCTCTCTCGTACTTCACATTCTCCGATCATTTTTATCTAATCGTATATTATACATGGCAGTATCATAGAGACGTATGGATGATAAGATTGAATCAAATAGATTATGCGCAATTTGTCGTATCAAATGGAAATAATGTAGTTTCGTTTTTATGTTTACCTATCCGTTCGTTCGTCCATCCGTTAGTACGTTAGTGTATATATGTGTTTGGCATTTGATCGCATTATTCTGTAGTACGTGTTTATGCGCATTCTGCATTGTTCCATTCTTCCTTGTGTCTTCATGTTCCATTGAATTTTGTTTGAACGCTTTCTATTTCAATTATCAACTGATATTTATGTACGATAGAAATAACATTAGTTATGCGTAACATATTACTTCTGTTGCTTGTATGTTTTTTAATTTTGTACCTTACTTAATTGACCATCGTGAGGAGGAGAAAGACGGTGACGAAATAAACTAACTATTATCTTATCATTACGGGGTTGTGAAGATTGTTAAGTTACACATTTTTGAAACCATGAATCGATCAATGTTACACCACCATTAGAAACCTCGAAGCACTGGACGTCCGATGGTCCGACGGTTAGGCGTTCGCGCACAATACCGAAGGTCTTGGGTTCGAATCCTGCGAGGTGCAGGAGTCGTGGATCCGCACTGCTGAGGAGTCCCATACGAGGACGAAACGGCCGTCCAGCGCTTCCATGTTTCTAACGGTGGTCTAACATTGATCGATTCATGGTTTCGAAAATGTATTATCTTATCATTATACTTGAAGCGCTAACAACAAAAGGCCATTTTACCGTCTCATTCATCATGAACAACACATCATGCAGTAGGTATTGTTTGCAAATGACATGTATGCAGTGAGTTTTTGTTGATTTAATAATTTGGTATTCCTTTTTTTTTGAAAAAGTAAAAGCGTACAATGCACCTCCGACTAATTTTCTATTATTGTTAATCAAAGTGCATTATTGTTCTAATCAGTTATAATGTAGATGCTGGCACAAAGATATACATAGTCGGAATGTATGTATATGTATATAGAGTTAAGGACATGCCCTACTAAAAAGTCCTTATTAAAATGAGAAACAATCTCTCAATGGTTTTTTCGGTTCTTAATATTTCAAAAATCAATGTCAGTTTATAATCAATATGATTTTACAACTAATTAAGGCATGTTAGACAATTAGTTTATTTTTGATAACCGGTTGTTTTGCAGTGTAGGAGTAGGTTGGAAGAAAACGAGGGGCGGCCAAACCAAAACATGGTACAAATCCATGAAGTCACTGACGACAAGTGGACTGAGTCATGTTGGTAGATGTAAGCTATCTGGTTGGGGTCTGCAAGACGACAGTCACCAATAGTTAGAGACCTTGAACGACATGGCTCAGAATTGTTTCCAATGGCACAAGTGCATTCACTGTTTGTGTTCTATGAAATTCTTACCTCCTGAATTCCTCATAATCTCTACCTTTCTCCTTCTAAATTTATCTCACTGAATTATACTTCTCGAATCATATCTTCGCTCCCTAATCTCCATTACTGCTAATAATTCTACTATCGCTATCACTTTTGGATTTGAACTGACAGTTGCGTCTATGTGCTAATGTGGTATGGCAACCTGGACTGATGTACTTACGTACGAAGTTCTGCGTTGTATCTGTCTGTCTGTCTGTTGTTTCAAACAATGATTTAACACATATATTATCAAAGTGTCACAGACGTTTCTACCATAGACTATAATAATAGACTTTTAACTTATGTCTTGACGATATCTACACTATCTAATTATCTTGATACAATTTGTTTCATATAAATTTAGTTGAAAGACATCATAAGAAGAATTCAAGAAATACGTCAGTGTTCATTACGTGAACCTATTGATAATAATTTAGGAAATGTTATGCATCTTTCAGATTCGACTGACTGCTTTTCATTAAACAATGTGATGAGAATTCTCAAGACCAGACTAGTTTTGTCTCTACAACAAGACACTAACATACATGCTTACTTAGTCAAGTGTTAACACATTTATTTGGGTTGGCTGAGTTACTGAAGTTTCGGATCTGAATTTAGTTTCGTCACACTAATTATTCTAGTTTGTAGGAAAAAAAGGGAGCATATTCCTTTATATAACTACAGAAAAATCTATTCAACTAACATCATGTCAAAAAAATATTAATTTTTTTATAATTATCTGATCTGACGCTTAACTGGATCTTGGTTAGAGTAGTGTACTTCCAGAACTGAGCATCGCTATCCTAGATGCCCAACTAGGGTTGTATTTCTTCACCTGGAGTCTGTATTTAAGTGCGTCGATGATGACGGTATATGTCAGTGAATAATATGCTGAAGTACATTAACTTTGTGAAAAGTTTATGTGAATATTATCGGTCAGATCTTGAGTAGTATTTCTCAGCGTTGTCCACAGTTTTCATTTTTGTTACTAGTAAATTCACTTATTGATTTCTTTTTTTGAAATGTGAAGCGTTTAGCTGTTGACAACTTCTCCGCATGGGTAAAAATAACCTTTGTTTAATCAACCTACTCATCTTTGCTACATCCATCTCGGTTATAGTGATTGGTGTTCCATTGACTTTCATGAAGTCGGAAGTTGTTAGTTACTTCTTTAATTTTTGAGACAAACACACCTATTTACAATCAATCAGTCAATACATAAACGTTATTGAATGCCTCACACATTTATGTGAGTGTTATTCTCTTCATTTGCTTTTTAAACGGAATCATTAAAATTTACAACAATTTAACTAGTTATAACTCATTCTTACATTGTTCGAATTTGTCTGAACAACTTCCTTCAAGTTTTATACCTAGCTAGTTAAAGAATGCGGGTAGACAGACATACAGTTCAACATTATGATTGGTTTATTCAAAAATAATTATTTGATAGTGTACATTCAGATGCCAGGTCATGTAAAAAGGCATTATTATTGATCAACTTGTTAGTCATGCCTAGAATATAACCAGAATGACCTTAAATTAATTCGATACTACAGATACAAACGAACTGTGTGAAAATATTTCATAGAATGAATGTTATCATGCAACACAATGAATAGTTAATGTATTTTCGTTAGCATCTTTAGGTTTATGATCATGCTAACTGAATGTGTGTGTGTGTGGGTGTGATATCGCTTATACAAGATGATTATCGTTATGCGAAATCTCTTTGTCTCAGTAATCAACTAGTTAGTATGAATGAATAAAAAACGAGTTGCATGTAAGTAATTATAGCTTACCAAGAGAACTAACTATTTGAAGAAGAAAAAGAAAATCATTTTTAGCTTATTGAAAATATAAATCGATTATTGTTAGACTATCATCAGAAGTATGGAAGTATGTTTCGTCCTAGTGTGGTGCGAGCTACTTATAAGCAGTATATGACGTGAGCGTCAACGTAATATCTGGCAGCAGAAGATGGGGGAAGATCAAGAGAAAGGAAGAGTTAGAACACAATGGAATTTGTATGAAACGCATGAATAGTAACAATGGATTGATGTTTTGCGACAGGAACAGTCCAGTTCGATATGATGGACTGATATTTTGCAAATGAACGATTTACGATATGGTTTTCCTATTTTACTGAGTAACTCTGTAATTTTCGTTAAATACACTCCGGTTGCCCCACCCGTGTTCTCCTACACTAGTAGCTTACAGTTTTTTGGACATTGTGAAAAATACTACATAGGACAAAGTGCACGGCCTCTTCAGCTTCGTCTGCGTAAACACTAATTAGCAGCCAAATACCACGACATTTCTTCACTCATATCAATACATACGGGCAATTATGGACAAACATTCGATTGGAACAATGTTGAAATACGGGATCGAGGGAGTAAAAAGAACACTAGAGAATTTTTAGAAGTCAATCAACAAATACTTGGACATTGACCCAATTTACCAACCTATCAGAAAAGCCATATGCAACATAGGATCAAGAAACAGATCAAAAAGGGGATACAGTCAAAACAAAGGTGCAAGCAAGGTCAACAGCAACCAATCAAGATTGAGGTTAACAGAACAAGCTACGGGTCAAACGTGAAGAAATTCAAATACTTCACTTCGATTTTTATTTATTTGAAAGATGAGACAAGAAACTTGTCATGAAGTATAGTTTCATTTGACTAAATTGTTCAGAATTTATTCACGATGTATTTCTATTTATCTAATGTTGCCTTAATTACCGACTGTAAATTGACGTACTAAGCTTGTGTTGATACTTTTTGTGAAGGCCAATTTGTTATTGGCAATTATTTGATAAAGTGGGCTTGAGTCTAACAGCCTACTGATTTATAGTGTCGAATCTGCCTCTTAACGAAAACAAGTAAAGCACATAGACTGACAGTTGAT